AAATTCAACAATCGGTTATTTTGAATATCTAAGGAAGAAAACATATAAGTACTATAGAGCGTAGACAAAAATAATGGTAGTTCCTTAAATAAATTTATAATGCAAACAAATTTAACACAAAGAATCTTAAACTCGATTTAAACTCTTTTATTAAATATTAAAAATGTTGATGATAAAATGTTTTTAAAGCTTTCTGCCTTAAAATATAAAATTATATACTTTTATAGAGATAAAAGGTATAACATAATTTTGATAATAGATTAAGGTTTTCATTGACTTAGACGAGTCCATARCCAAAGGGGTGTTTTTAGCTTAACGCACAGTACCTACATTATATACGTATTTGCGTGACGAAACATGAAGGGGTCTTATYGTTACCTAGCTATGGTAACAGTTCGTATATCTAACAAACAATTGAAATTATACTTCATRAGTATTAAAAAAGAATTWAAATTTGTATCTTAGTTATTAGATATTATTGTCACCCTTACGTTTTCTTAAAATGATTTACGGAGGAAAACCTATGAAACCCGTACCACCATCTAAAGCCGGTATTTCTATACCTACGCCATTTAGAGGACCTCAAGCATATACGTACGGGTTTGTAAGTATATCAATATTTTTTTAATTAAATATATTATGATATTATAACATACATTTGACAGATATTTATAAATATTAGTTAGCTAAACAACCAGGAAATGATTACAAAATTCGACTTCGTGACATAGAACGAACGCGTACAGAAAGGTTAAGAATACAAAATGAAAGTGATTTTAAAAGTATGTTAAGAGAAGCTCAGCATAAGGAAATGATTGAAGTGTCAGATAAAAAGTGTTTATACAATCAAATTAAAAGAATGGTTGAATGTGGAATGAAAGCTAACGAACATYTATTTATAGAAGAATCTCCAAAGTATGAACATTTGTTTTCRACWTGAATACTACATTAATAATAATTACTAATCATATTGTGTACTAGGCCGGAATTGAAATTAGAAGAGGAACCAGAAAAACCGAAAATTGTCCAAGAACGTTTAGAAGAAAAGGCAAGAGAAATTAAAGAAAAAAATGATGAAGAAGAACGTAAATTAGTGGAAGAAAAACGTTTACAGATGTTCATGTAAGCATAAAAGAAAACAAAGAATTTATTAAAAACTATTTTGTATTGTAAATTATTCTTTTAGAGAAAACTCTGAAGAATTGAGACGTGCTGCAATGACTAAACGTAAAAATGATATAGCTCATATGAACTATAAAATTATTCAAGAAAAAGAAAAATTCATTAAAGAACAAAAAATTAAGACGAGAGAACTGGCTAATATTGAAAACGCAGAAATATTTAAAAAACAGGTAAATCCAATATTTCAAATGTGTTATTGCCTATTGGTAGATAAAGTACATTTAACCGATTTTCAAATTTTATTGAACAATATGGTTAACCTGTTGTTGAATATTATGAATGAATTATAACAATACATATGCGTAAATTGACATATTATTATCAATTTTTCGATGCAAAGTTATCAAGATATGAATRTTTAAATAATTCAGCTAAGTGCCTACTTTATCTTATTTAAAAACCAGATTAAACGAAAAAAATTCGTTACTAATAAATTATAACAATTATTCATAATTATTATATAACACGATAATGCGAGGGTGCGTTAGGTAGGTACAATGACCATTTGATAATACTGCGCAATGCACAATAGCCACAACATAAACTTCTTAGTTCATAATTCATTTACATTTCAATGACTAATTGATAACTAAAATAATTATTTCTATAAATTATCAGCCAAACCATGTGCCAACAGTATCAACTGGCTATTAATGACTATTTAAATTATTTACATTATATTTTTCCTTATACCTATTAGTATACCTATAAGTAGATATCTAACTTATGGAATTATGTATATTGTTGATAAACTATGGTGTATAAATGTGTATGTATTTTAGTTTAATTTATTATATTGCCTATAAACTAAAGACATTAACACATTGAGATGAGTGCACAACACTTGGCATATACATCTTCCCATGCCTAATAGGTA